GTATATTCCCTTCCTTTGTTTGGATAATAGCTTCTTGATTTAGTTGTAAGTTTCATGTTGTTGTTATTGATTGCTGTCGAGTTGTGTATGACTCATAGTAACTCCATGAACAAAAGATCTGAGGCCTTTCTAGGACTATCATTTCTCTAAGTTCATAGAGTTTCCAGAGACATGTAGTTGAGGAAGTGGAAGCCAATATCTGGTTAACTAACAGATTTAAGACAGGCTTGGAGGCAGGAGTGGCATCCACTCCCTAAACACACCTGTGGAAGCTCTATGAACTTAGATATAGGACAATAGATATAGAACAAGGTTAAAGTTTTTTTTGTTTATGGGGTAAGTACTAAATGGCACTTAAGAACAACAACAACAATATGTATTGCCAAGCCCCTGTCTTGCATTTTGGACTTCCATTGGCTCGACTCTGTATGATGGCGCTCTTGTTTTGATTGAGAATCCGTGCAGATTGTTTGATTGGTTAAGCCTCTTGTTTAGAGTCAACAAGACCTCCAGGAGGACACTTGAATTTAAGGAAATGCCTTTGTCTCCATTTTGGAAACTGTGTGAAGTGACTGGACTCTGTAAGATGGGCTCGCTTGTTTCGGTTAAGGGTCATTGTGGAATGCATTTTTGGTTTTGGGTTTGGTTTTTTTTATTAACTATTAAAGACTCTTGTTTAGAGTCAACAAAAACTTATGGAGGGCCCTTATATTTACTAAGTCAGGTTCAAAGGATTATTTTTTAATTCTTTGCTACTATATTTTGGAAGAATACTCTTCTAAGTTGTACAGCACTCTTTTGTCAATTTGCTGTGCTGAAGTAATCTGGATTTGCTGTGATGTTGAGCCTCTTACCATTGGGGTCTAAAATGCCATAATGGTTGCCCATGGTGTACAGTGTTTGGTGAAGCTCCCAGTTTTAAGATAGGTTAGGAGGCCCTGTAGTATTCTGTAAACTTTTGTTATGAAGCTCTTGTCTGAGTTGTAATTGCCAAATGTTTTTTCCCAGTCAATAAGTTTTCTTTTCACTCTGTTGGAAAAAATTTTTGATGCACACAGGGATTTAATCTTTAGAAAGTTCCATTCATCTATTTTATTCTCTCCATGTTGTATATTTCTGACTGTACCATAGGTGAGGTCTTCTAAGCTTGGTCCTGTTGTGTATCTTAGGATCTTTATGATTTGGGGCTTAACCCCTAGGTCTCTGATCCACGTTGAGCTGATTTGGTGAGAGGTGTGGATTCTGCCTCAGCTTTCTATTGGTAGCAGTCCAGTTTTGCCAGCACCATTTATTGAAGAAGTTGTTGTTTTCCCATTTGATAGGCTTTGTTTTCTTGTCTAATATAAAAAATAGTCACTGATATGAAAAAAAAAGAACTAAAACTAATGAGTGATTTGAATAGTAGTGAGGTGTAGGTGGAAGAAATGGCTAGTTGCAGAATATTTCTGCTGCTTAGCTGCATGAAAAGTAAGGTTACTTTTTAAAAAAACGAGGAAGAAAATATACTTAAAAAATTGATAGTCTGAAAAAAGTAAGTTATGTCACAATTCTTAAATGTAGTTACAGCTCTACCATCATAAAAGAAAGTTTCAAGCAGCATGTGAAGCTTTTAATTATGAATTATTAGTGTGTCATGTCTCAAAATGTCTCATGGTATCTTATTCATTCTAAAGAATTATGTATAATTAGTTAAAACTTATTTTTTTTGCTCCACACTCTGTGTTCAATTCTAAAATAATCCAAACTAACTGGCAGGTATATTTGGCATTCCTCTTAAAAAAGAGTTCTAACGAAGCCTAGCTTTCTTTGCTTACTATGGAAGTTGCCCCCATTCCACAGAAGAAACTGTGATGTCCAGCAACAGTGAGGCAGGCTTCTTGAGACTTTGAAGCAGACAATGCCAACACTTGAGGCTTAACTATCCATTGATAAAATACTAAAAATCTTTCATTGATACTGTGAACCAATAAATGGTTACAAATATAACGTAGTTTTCAAAAGTTTTAATGATACCTACTGGAATTTTATGTAAGAAATTAATCTCTTTAGCAACTGGCTAGTAATTTGTTTCTTGATTTATGGTACATTTGTTGGCTTATCTGATCAGATATCACAATTAGCAAAGGGTATTTGGAAACAAAAAAGTAAAAAAAACCCCAGAAAATTAATGAACACTAAGTAATGATCTAATTAGATTATTTAATTTGGATTATCGAATGTTGGGATTAGAGAGTTTGTTTACTGCTATAAGTAAGAGATTGCATCACTGCTAGCTTCCCTAATTTCTCCTCTTCACTTGTAGGTTTTGCTTTGCACCTGAATTTCCAAGTACAGAATTTATTTTACAACATGCTTATTTATTTTCAGATTTGTTTAAAAATTGTATGTGTAAAAACAGTTGTGATTACTTGTGCTACAAAAAAAGCCACCTGTTACTTTATCTCATCAAGTTTCTTTTAAATTATAAACTGTGGTTTTGTTCTGGAGGGGCTTTTGAAATGATAGAGGTGTGTTCATGTTTTTGATTAGTTATAGAGGGCTTTGTTGAAATTAACTTGTGATTTGATGACATGTACAGTTGCAAGGTTAAATCTTTTCCAGTTTATTTATGTAGACTAGCAATTTTACCAGTTAAACAGAGCCAATTCACTTCACAAGACTTACTGTACATTGAGGTTTCTCTTATTCAACTTCTCTTTCGAGTGAGTATTTAACAAAATGAGGATACACTGTGGACTTAATAATGTTGAAAATATGAATCCTGTACCTAGTGAAAAGACCGATAGGCAACACCATCATAGATAAAGGAAAGATGAAGTTGTGAATGATTTTGTCTCACTTAGCTCCATTATCTACACACTTGGTACCAGCAGTCAAGGAATCAAAATATATGTTACCTTGGGAAAATGTGCTGTCAAGAACCTCTCCAAAGTACTAGGGAGCAATGATGTTAGTTTAAGACTAAAGTTCACCTAATGCAAACCACATTCTTTTCAATTACTTGCTATTTGTCTGAAAGTTGGACACTAAATAACAATGACGGAAGAATTAATGTCTTTGAATTGCAAGGTTGGAGAAGAGAAATAAGTATATAGTGGGTCACCAAAAGAACAAATATGCCTTGGAGAAAGTGCAGCTAGGGTGCTCCTTAGTTGTGAGGATGGTGAATCTTCTCACATACTCAAGTATATGACACTTGATCAGGAGGATGGTGCAGGATAGAGAAATATTCAGATATGTTGGTCATAGGGTTACTATGAGTCTAGGAACTAGGAGCTCAGTGGTACTTAACAATAATTATAGCAACCGAGCAAAATTGTGGTTGTTATCTGGCATTGAGTCATGTGCGACTCACAGTGGCCCTATGTAGATTAGATATGAACCCTCCCCTATCCTGAGCCAATCTCATCACCTCAAATAGACCTTATCCAATTTCTCCAGTCAGAGTCAATCCATCTCATCCTGGGTCTTCCTCTCCTGTGCTGTCCCTCCACTCTTCCAACCATGATTGTCTTTCTCCAGGAACTGGTTCTTCCTGGCTGTTGGGAATGTTGGGGAGGAAGGTAGTGCCTCTGGTCAGAACAGATCACCTAAGTTCTGGATAACTGCAACCCTCCCAACCGCCTTTAATATGGGGTAGAGAAAGCTCCCCTTTGATTGAGAAAGCTCGCCACGTGGGAAGACAGCTGCCACATCTGTGGTCCACACAAGGCTGAGGTTCTCCTAACCAATCCGCATGTCCCACTCTGTAAGCCCACCCTATCGTGTCTTCCTGTTTACTTGCTTGTATATAAGTGTGCTGCAGCAGCCCCCAGTGAAATTGAGCTGGTTTGACTCTCTGATCCTCTCCCAGAGTGGTGTGTCTCTGTTGTGCTTACCTCTTCAGGGTGTCACTGTTGGTTACCGGAGAACAGACAGCGACACCTGGTAACATGACCAAAGTGAAGAAGACAGTGGAATCTAGAATGTCTACAATGTTTTATTTAAAATATTTAGTGCATTGGAAAAATAGTAGGCAAGCAAAGAAATAGGAAAATATAATTTCTAAAAAGTGAGAAAGGAGCCTTGGTGGTACTATGGCTAAATGTTTGCCTGATAACTAAAAGTTCAGTTGTTTAAATCTGCTCAGTGTCTCTGGGAGGAAAGAAAAAGTGATAAAAAAAATCTGTAGAAAAATTCTCCCCATCTTATGTTTTGCATTGAATTGGAACTGACTTGATAGGACCTGATAACAACAATAGAGAGAAAATGTGGACATCAGGAGATAGTGCTAAGATTGTAAAGCTGGTTGAAATTATAATGCAAAGATTGTACAGCAGCTATTATAAATATATTTGATTGCTTAAAGAAACAAGTTGTTATAATGAACAGACAGAAAAGACAATGTCAGCAAAGCATTGGAAAGAACCTAACAAAGATTCTAAAACTCAAAAATAATAGATGTGAAATGGAAAATTTCATCAAAGGGCTAAATGGAAGCTTGAATATGACAGAAGACTAATCTAACTTGAAAATCGATCATTAAATGATGTTAAGTGTCGTTGAGTTGACCATTATTCCTAGCAGCTCAATAAAGAAAGGATACGAACCCTGTCCTATCTTGTGCCATCCTGACCATCTCTGACATACACGAGCCCACCATTAAACTGTGTCAATCCATCTCACTGAGGATCTCACCCTCCTTTGCTAAGACCAACTCTTTTCTGTAAAATGAGCCATATAAAAATTTAAAATAATTTATCAATCAACATTCTGTTTTCCTTTATTATCCTCAGGACCACCCAGGAAGGCTAAAATATTTATGTTTCTCATTATCCTGAGAATTAAGTGAGATAATATTCTAACAGCATAGGTTTTGTCCCCCCAAAATGAAGAATAACATTATTTGACAACTAACGGAGGCAGTGCCTATAAAAGTTTTGTGAAAATTAATAAATGTTATAGACAATGAATTTTATGTTAAGCTCTTATTTCAGATCAATCTCACACATATAGACAATCTAAGATTTTATTTTACAGTTCATATTCCACTTTCTCAGTCGTCTCATTGCTGTCTTCATATCTTTGTTTCGCAGTGTATATATTATTGGGTTCAAGAGAGGTGTAACTACAGAGTAAAACACAGCAAGGAATTTATCTAATGACTTGATAGGGAATGGCCAGGCATAAATGAAGATACATGGTCCAAAGAACAAAAAAACTACTGTGATATGAGCAGTCAAAGTGGACAGAGCCTTGGAGGACCTGTCAGCAGGACGACGGTGGATGGTCACTAAGATGATAGTGTAGGATATGATTAGGAGAGCAAAGGAACACACAGTGAGCACACCACTGTTAGCAATGACCATGATATCCAGTTGGTGAGTGTCTGTACAGGCAAGTTTTATGACCCTGGGAAGGTCACAATAAAAGCTGTCCACTTCATTGGGCCCACAAAAGGGTAAGTTCACTGCAAAGACCAACTGGCTCACTGAATGTAAGAAGCCAACTCCCCAAGCAGCAGTCACAATGCCCACGCATACATTGCCACACATGATTGTGGTGTAGTGGAGAGGTTTACAGATTGCTATGTATCTGTCAAAGGCCATGGCTATAAGGGTCACCAACTCACCCCCACCAAAGAAGTGAAGAAGAAATATCTGAGCAAGGCAGCCCTTGAAAGAGATGACTTTGCGCTTGCTGAAGAAGTCAAGAATCATCTTGGGGGCTGTGACTGAAGAGAGGCACAGATCAAGGAGGGAGAGGTTTGCCAACAGGAAATACATGGGAGAGTGAAGGTGAGAGTCAGAAGCCACTGTTAGGACAATGAGAAGGTTTCCAAACACAATTCCTGCATAGAATACAAAGAAAAATACAAATAGAAAAATCTGGAGTTCCTGAGAGTTGGAGAGTCCCAGAAAAATAAACTCAGTCACCATGGAGTAATTGGTTTCACTTACTGATTCATTCCAGGAGGTGGTCTCTAACGTTACCTTAGAGAAGAGAGCAGGATGTCAGAATTACTATAGAAAAATTCAGTCTCATTTTGTATAATTGTTCATATATCTGCAATAATTTATGTAATTTTTATAAACACTTTTATATATAAATATTACATAAACCTTTAAAACTTTCTATTTTAACCAACATTATAGTCCTAATTGTCCCTCATAATCCAGTATCCAAGTGGCAGTGTGGACACTTATGTTGGATATATTTCTAGTAAAACTCTTCTGTTCCTGTTCTTTGCTAGATTTAAATTACAACACCAAATTGTATTTATCTTCCTTTATGAAATTTGAAAAAGTTTGTACTGTAGCTCACACATGAGTTACTTGTGTTCATGTGAAACCTATACTTAAATTATGCAGCTGTTGTCTGAATAGAGCAACAGAACACAACATGGTTCAAAATCAGGAAAGCAATCCATTGGGATGTGTCCTTTCCCCCTATCTTTTCAGTCTGTATGTTCAGGAGATCATTTGAGAGACTAGATTTTATGAAGAAGAATATAGCACTCAGATTGGAGACTCATCAACAGCCTGCTTTATTGACACAACCTTGCTCGCTAAAACTGAGGAAGACTTGAATAATTTGCTGCAGAAGGCCAAGGACTGTACATTTCAATATGGATGACATCTCAACATCAATAAAACAAAATACCTTATAACCAGGACAATAGGCAGCACCATAATAGATGGAGTAAGATTGAAATTGTTAAAAATTTCACTTTTCTTGCTTCCATAATCAACACCTTTGACAACAACAGTCAGAAAAACAATAGATGAGCTACAAATCTGTTGTCAAGAACCTCTACAAAATACTAAAGAGCAACATGTTAGTCTAGAAACCAAGTTGTGCCTGATCCAGGTCATGGTCTCCTCAATTGCTTACTATGCATCTGAGAGCTAGACAATGAATAAGGATGATAGAAAAAGAATTGATTCTTTTGAGTTGTGGTGTTGTAGAAGAGTATTAACATGCCATGGACTACTACGAGACTAAACAGGACTGTTCTGGAGAGGGTGAAATCAGGTTGTTATTGGAAGGCAAGGATTTTGAAGATTGTTTTTCACCTACTCTGAGTGTGTTGTCAAGAGGGTCCAGTACTTGAAGAAGGACATGATGCTTAGAAGAGTAGAAGGTCAGCACTGGAGAAGAAGACCCTGGAGTAGATGGATTGATATGATGACTGTGCAATGGTGTCAGATGTGTCAGAAATGGTGAGATTGGCAAGGTTAGGGCAAGGTTCAAAGCCATTGTTCATGAGGTCGCTGTAAGTTGGCATCGACTTGGTGGCACATAACAACTATGATATTAAAATTATTAGGGATGAAAAGTATATGCCAAAGTGAAGTTACAGATTAAAACTAGAACAACAGAAAGAACACAGCAGAAAAATAAAATTGAAATTGTGAGAAATGATAAACACTTTTTTACAATTTCCCTTTTCTTGAAGCCCATTCTTGCATTCAGTGTGTCAAGTATCTTTATGACTGTCTTCCTCTTTTTTCAGTGATCATCTACTTTACATGTTGTTGTCCACTGCATGTTGTGCTGCTAACTAAAAGGTTGTAAGTCTCTGATAGTTCAAAACCACCACTGGCTCTGTGAGAAAGATAGACAGTTTCTTCCTGTTGAGATTTACAACGCCACAAACTAGATGAAGGATCTGAATTGACTCTATAGATATGGTATTTTTCTGTTTAACTAAGCGTAACATACTTGTTTAGACCTAGTACTTACAAAAACATCTAAAACATCTTCAAATATGTGAGATGAAGTCTAGTCAACCTCACTTCTAAGGAGTGTTCTGGCTGCACTTCTTGTAAAACAGATTGTTCCTTTGTCAGGAAATAGTATATTCAAGATTCTTCACCAGCACCACAATGCAGAGGTACCATTTTTTTCTTGGGCCTTTCTTATTATTGATTGTCCAATTTTCACATGCATGCGAATGTTAATACTATGGCTTTGGTCAAATGCTCTTTGGTCTTCAAAGTGAAATCCATGAAGACTGGAGGAACTGCTCAAAACCCATAGGTAATTAGATACATTAACTCTGGACTTATGATTTGGAAAAGACTGGAAATATAGGTAAACCTAATAAGAAACAATAAGCTTCAGTTGGTGTTTGTACAAGCAGGAAAGGGTTGAAAAAAGATTTATTAACTGTTTCTCTCATTTGATTAACAGCCTCTGAAAACCTAAAGGAAAGTCAGTTATGAGTTGGGTCTAACCAGAAGACATAACAACAACAACATCAACAATGTGAATCAGATGTGATTTAAAATACTAAATGTCTTAGGTTCAAATTCTGGGCACATGAAGCCAATGGTTTTAGGCAACATACTTAACCTTTTTTAGTTTTTTGACTCATCTACCAAAAAAGAGTGGTAATAACTCTAAATAACTGTAAATCACAGGAGTCCTGTGAGTAGTGAATGTTATCAGGTATATTAAAGTTCAGCTCAGCATTAGTGTTTAATATTATGTAAAAGCTATTAATAATAATAGGAAAACAAGTGCCATTGAGTAGATTCTGACTCACAGTAACACCAGTTGTGTCAAAATAAAATTGTGTTGCATAGACTTGTAAATAGCTAAATTTTAGGAGTAGATCACTTGCCCTTTCTTATGAAGCACTTATGTATAAACTCTAACTTCCTGTCTCTTGGTTAATAGTTGAGTACATTAAGTGTTTGCATTGACCAGGAATATCAGAAAAAAAAGATCAGTATTGCAAGCACAGTTGCACAGTTTGGAGCACAGTTCTTATCCAACATATATGGGGATCACAGTGAGTCATGATCTACTCAGAACTCATTGGTAACTTTTATTTACTTTTTATTAGCAAAAAGTTTGATAATAGAACATAGGAAATGAATAAAGATGGCTCCATTAATTTTATTTTGTGTAATTGGGAACATTAGGATGGAGGCCTTTAACTCTGATAATAATTACGGAAAGCACCCCATAGGGGTTGGGGTGGGGTGAGACTGAGAAAGAGGGGATAAATAATGTATACTGCATTGAAATAGATGAGGGTGAGAATTAAAAAGGGATATATGATTAAATATTATTGTCATGACAGGAGTCCAGAATGAAGGCCCCATAGTGAAGTGGACTTGGAGGGAGGGATTGTATAACCAGGAAAGAATTTGTCTTTTACGTTTCAAAGAGAAGAGGAGTAGGGGAAAGGGTGGGCAGGGAGAAAAGTGCAACAATGAATGAACAGAAATCCAAAGTCTCTGTAAACTTTCATTAAAATTCATTAAAAAATTTTTTAAAAAGCTCTTTAAACTCATTGCAACTCATAGTTTTCTGAGGCTGCATGGAAGAAAATTTACCCTCATTCTCCTGCAGAGCTACGAGTGTATTTGAACTTCCTGAGGGGTGCCATATTTGGGTTAGCAATGCAATTCCCAACGGACTACACCACCAGAGTTTCAATACGCAACAAACATTACTTTTAGAACAGCTTAGGAGCTAACAGATAAATAAAGTACAAGAGAAAGAAGTACAAATTTATGGAAGTAATTCTAAGTGAATAATAAAGGGTGGAAGGTTGTTGCCAAATTTTTTAGAGGAATAGGATTTTTAAAAAATCTAACTCAATAATCATAGTTATTTCCTACCTCTTGGAAATGATATTTTCTCCTCATTATCTTCTTTATTACTTAGATAAAATCCCGTATTACTATTTACACACTTCTATAAAAATTTAGAAGTATGAAATTTCATTTAAAATATTAGCAAAAGCCTTAAAATAAATCACACTATAGCAGGTTTTCAGAAGCTATGAATTGCATAGGAGGAGATTGCCTTTCTCTTGCCTGCAGAGCACCTGGTGGATTAAAAAACTCTATGTCTTGTGTTGTCAGGACAGCTCCTTACCTCTAGGCCAAAACTCCTTCATGGAAAATATACTAAGAATAATTATTGACCTGCATGCTTGACCTATGACAAAATTTTCTAGCATGATTGAATGTAAACCTTTAGGAATCATAGTCTTCAGCAAAAGGAATCTCTTGCTTAGTTAAGACGTTTCATCTCTTGAGATGTGGAGAAGTTGGCATGGGATCCTGGACTATAGGAGATTTTTTTTTTTTACTACAATCATGTCAGAAGTCATCCTCAAAAAATGATTTAAATTTGTAAAAAACATCTGATTCTAAATTAAGCATTAAGGTTAGATTCATTGAAGGAGTTCTCAAGAATATTATTCATTGTCTATTGCTGTTGATGTTAGGTGCCATTGAATCAAGTATGACTGATAGCAATCCTATGAACAACAGATCTGGAACCTGTCCTATTCTGTATGTCATCCTCACAATCTCTGACACACTCAAGCCCATTCCTATAGTTTTTATGTCAATTGACCTGGTTGAGGGTCTTCCTCTCTTTTCTGTCCCTCTGACTGTCCAAGCATGATGGCCTCCTCCAAGGAATAGCCTGTTCTAGCAACATTCCATAGCTATGTGAGATGAAACTTTAATATCTTTGCATCCATGAAGCACTCTGGCTGCATCTTCTCTAAGACATGTCTGTTCATTCTTTTGGTAGTCCATGGGATATCCAGTACTCTAACACCACAAATCATATGTATCAATTCTTCTGTTATCCTTATTTATTGTCTAGCACTCAGATGCACAGCCATTGATTGAAAAGTCCATGGCCTGAATCATGTGAATCTTAGCCCTCCAACTGACATCATTGATACTCAATAGTTTGGAGAGGTCCCTGACTGCAGACTTTTCCAGTGCAATGTCTCCTGATATCCTGACTGCTGGTACCAAGTGTATTGATTGTGCATCTTAGTAAAATGAAGTTGTTGACAGTTTCAATCTTTTCTTCAATTGTTACCATGTTCCCTATCAGTCTAGTGGCAGAGACATTTGTTTTCTTGACACTGAGAAGCAATCCATATTGAAGGCTGCAGTGTTTGATCTTCTACAGCAAGTGCTTCAAGTTCTCCTAACTTTCAGCA